ATAAATTTGTTAGTCTCTAAGGTGCCACAAGTACTCCTGTTCTTTTTATAAACCTCTTGAAGTTGTTGGATTTAGGGGGGTGGGGGGTGGAGAGGGGGAGAAATCTGGCCCAGCAAGTTTAGAAATGTCAGCACAAAAGTAAATCCAGCCGGTGGGAGGCCTCTCCAGCTTGTGCACGATGAATCAGAGACATCTGAGAGCTCTTAGGTCAAATAGTCCCTCTCCTGGGGCCATCCCGGGCTTGCTTCCTGCTGTTTGCCTGCACTCCAGTGCGCTGAGGTACATTTCTGGCAAGGACACAAAGGCCCTGTCTATGAGGGATGGGCAAATCAGGCTGGAGAATGTGCAGCCCAGGCTCAAAACTCGCACAGAGCAAGAGCCCGAACGCTCATGTCTCCCCCGTCGATCATTTGTACTGCTGGGGTCCCAGTGAGGCCAGAAACATAAGGGCTGAAATACCACAGGAGGGGCCGTTCTCTGGGTATTTTCAGCCAGACCAGAAAGCGAGAGAAGCAGAGAGCTCTCGAGAAAGCTGTTGTGCCCGGATTGCCAGCTGGCAGAGTCAAAGGATTCAGATAAGCATCTCTGCTGTAAACAATCCTGGGCAGGGACCTTGCTTCTACACCACCCTATCCAGCCCCCTGCTCCCTGTGGAACAGCAGTAACCCCAGGGTTTGCACCTTTCCACCCCAGATCTCTGAGCACTGCACCCAGGGGCCTGAGTATTGCCACCGAGGGGGAAACTGAGCCCCAGAGCCGTGAAGCGTCCATGGCAGCGCTGGGAATAGAACCGAGATCAGCTTTTAAAGCAGGCCCGTCCCTTGGCCACCTGCGGGCCAGGACCTCATCTTCCGCTGTGGTTCGTAAAGCCCCGAGCACTCCGTCGGCGCTGAAGAAATACTTGTTAGAGAGAATGACCTTCTGCCCTGATTCTTGAGCACCTTCCCTGTGAGGAGCTCAGCGCGCTCCACTGGCGTGGGTGATTTCAGCTTGAATGGTGTCTCTGTGAGGAAAGGAAAGAATATCGTCTCTGTTTTACAGATGGGGAAATTGAGGCACAGAGTGGTGACGTGACTAACGCAAGGTGTCTGTGACGGAGCCGGGAATAGAGCCCAGCTCCCCTGAACCCCAAGACCATCCTAGGAGAGTCTTTTTTGCCCCTCCCCTGGAAGGTTAGCAGTGAATTCAGCACTAGTGCCGTGCCCCCAGCCTGGAGTCCCAGGGTGTGAGGATGTGGCTTTTGTCTCCCCACCGGCCTGGCTGTTGGTTTATGTTAGATAAACCAGGCCCTCTCTGTGTCCGGTTTGCATAGCTCAGGAATCCCTTCCTCTGACTTGCTGGTCACGAAGCAGCACAACAGAGCTGTCCGCTCGGCGAGACGAGCTCCGGCTGATTGCGCCGGCTCCACCGTTTAACAGAGCGACGACAAGGGACTGTAACAACAGCGTCTCCCTGGCCAGTCCCAGGGCTATTGTTATGGGGCTCTATGACAGCCTGGTGGTGAGCCATTTCCGATGCCCTGCAGCAATCCTCGCACAGCCGTCTGCCCCTGCGATTGCCCTGAATGTGCCCTGCCACACTGGCACCATCCCAGCCCCCCAAGCAGACCACCAGGCCGGCCTCCAGGGCTCACGCGCCCAAGGAGGGGACCTCTATGCCAGGATCTCTTCTCCGGGCCCAAGCAGCAGAGTAGGAGATGTACCACTGCAGTGGTGCTGCCTGGGGCTGTTAATTTACTGCCCCCTTGTACCCGGACATGAACCGTTCCCTACATTCAATCTAGCAGGATTTAAAGAGCAGCTGGGCTAGGCGGCAGGGCGACGCTCCGCTGGAGGGCAGCTCAGCTCGGGCCGAGGGGCGCAGGAAGGGCCCCGTGTACACCTCGGGAGGTGGCACAAAGCCCAGAGCTCCCAGGAGAGGCCAGTGTCGGCCGTTGCTAAGAGCACCAGCTGCAGCACGCAGGGCAATGGAAAACTCGGCATAACGTGCAGATGCTGCTCCCCACAGAGCACCTGGTCTCCTACCCCCTTTACCCTGCACAGCACGTCGCGTCTGCGCTTCCTGTCAGCGCCCGGGGCCATCTCCCCTATAGCTAGTTCGACATCGCAAAGCTAGGGCTGTAGCCCAGAGCTCCCCTCCGGCTGCCCTGCTGGTATAACCCATTGCTGCTCAGCCCCTCTGCTTCTTTCTGGGGTGCTGGCTTATTGGGACGTAAGAGGGGGCTTGGGGCAGCCTAGGCAGAGGATGCTGTGGGTGTGACTGAGGTCTGTTCGTTGGCAGGTGAGGGGTTAACACGTCTCACTCAGGCAGGCCGGGCCGCCCAGAGGGCTGGGGGTGGGATACGGTGTCTGAGCTCTGTGTGTCCCGTCCCCCCCCGCCCCTAGGGCTGTAGGGTCTGAAAGCTGACAAGCTGCTGGCTGTTGGGTTTCAACCCAGCTCCGAGGGTGCCCGTAACAGCTGTTTGTGGTCTCAGCAGAGAGGCCAAGGGTTAACTGAGCCCCGGAGACCGAACCCCTCTCTCATCCTTAGCGCGGGTCCCTCCGGGCCAGATCGAATCCTGCAGGCAGCGCCAGGCACCATGACAGCTAGCACCAGGCCTGCTCTAAGAGGGGTCTCTGGGGCTGCCCAGGGGGTACTATAGAAAAGCAGCTTCTAGCCTGTGGCCAAACGGCTGTTATCATAGGAAGCTGGTCGGTTGCCCTGACCGCCTCAGGGTTGCTGTTTGCCCTGGGCTGCCAATGCCAGAGTGACTCTTGGCTCCCAGCCAGCGAGAGTTCAAATCCCTCGTCCGCTGGGCACGGCCCGCACCCAATGGGGCTTTAATGCCGTTTGTGACTGCAGAGATCCCGCGGGTGGAAGCGGGGAGCAGCGAGGAGAAGCACTACTCGGTGATCCTGCCGTCCGTCACTCACAACGGCTTCCTCTTCAAGACGCCCTCCATGGCCAAGCTGGTGCATGAACGGAAATCCCGGGAAGGTAGGGGCTTCCGTGGTTACCTGCCGGGGAGAGGAGGCGGGCAGGGTTGGGGCAGCATCGTGCGGCGTGGTGCAGCACAGGACCCGCTGCTGTCTGAGGTGGCACAGTCCGTCTGCCGGGCTACAGCAGCTGGCTCTGTGGCTCGTTTAAGTCTAGGTCAAGGTAAGTGTCTCTGCAGCACAGGGCTGGGTCTTTGTTCGGTAAGAGAATAGAAAACCCCAAGACAAAGAGACAGACACACCCGGGTGGCTTTGGCGATGGGGTGCGACCCGGGCTGTGTAGGGGGTCAGATGTCTCTGTAGATGCCTAGCATAAGCCGTGGCAGCTCTTGACTTCGGTTAACCCTGCGGCGCCAGCCCAGCTGTGGGAGCTGGAGTCCTGCCTGCACGTCATTAACAGAGTTGTTTGTGAGCTCCGATGTGCAAACCCAGCGCCAGGACCAGGGGAGGCCCAGAGGGCAGAATTTGGCTGACAGACCCTTTGCTGGCAGTGCGGAGGTGTGGGAAGGGAAGAGCCCAGCCTGGCTTTCGGATCCCCGGGGAAACTTGCAGGCCTGGCCATTGGACAAACCATTTTTTTTGCTTGGAAACTGAGCAGGTTTTGTCTGGGGTCCATGAGGCACAGTAAACGCTGCGCCCCCTTTAACTCCTGTCCCCCGTAGAATTCAGCCGCCGCTGGTGCACCCTCAATGACAGCATCTTCAGCTACTATGAGAACGACCGCAATGCCGTGCCTAACGGCGAGATCAAGATGGAGGAGATCGTGTGCCTGGTGAACAACCCGCCTGACACCCACGGGTAAGGGTCTGCCCACCCCGCTTGGCTCCAGTGGGCCCCCGCCCGCAGAAGCACTCTACAGGGAATGGGAACATAATGACCCCTCTCTGGTGAAGGCTGGAGCAGCAACAGTGCCAAGGCCAGTGAGTGCTAATGACGTGGGGAGGGCCCATAGGCGCCGTACAGCCATTTCTAGACCTGTGTGCGTAACAAGTGAGTTTGGAACTCCCAGTGTCTGATCATGGCTCTGCCGGTGACGTGCTTTGGACACGTTACTTAAACCTTTGTCTGAGTTTCCCCATTAGTAGAACGGGACTCAGACCTATCTACCTTTGCTGGGATCATTTGCTGTGTGAGTTGGCTGCATCACAACAGGAATTCCTCGCAGCAGCATTAAATTTACCTTGCCTTGGGTCTCAGAAGGGTCTTTCCAGTCCCCGAGGAATTTGTCCCCTCCAGGGAATCGAACCACCTGTCCCTGCATGTGGAAGTAGCAATGCTGCCTCCCAGGCGAAAGCAGAGCCTTCTGATAGCTGTTCGTACCCGTAGCAGTGAGAGCGTCTTCCAGGCTGGCAGCTGGCAGCGTGCAAGCCCATCCCCGGGCGTGGCTTAGGCCTGGTCTACACTACGGGATTAATTCGGATTTAGCAGCATTAATCCGAATTAACCCTTCACCCGTCCACACTACAGAGCCAGTTAATTCGTATTAAAGGGCCCTTTAAATCGATTTCTGTACTCCACCTCGACGAACGGAGTAGAGCCTAAATCGATTTTGTTAATTCGAATTAGGGTTAGTGTGGCCGCACACCACCGAATTACTGTGTTTAAATTAATGGGGTAGTGTGGCCGCACACCACCGAATTAATGTGGTTAAAAACCGAATTAAGGTGCTTAGGGCTTGTCTACACTACCGCGGTAGTTCGACGGCTGGCAATCGAACTTCCGGGTTCGATTTATCGCGTCTGGTGTGGACGCGATAATTCGAACCAGGAAGTGCTCGCCGTCGACTGCGGTACTCCACGTCAGCGAGAGGAGTACCGCGGAGTCGACGGGGGAGCCTGCCTGCCGTGTGTGGACCGCGTCTGAACCGCGGTAAATTCGAACTAAGGTATGTCGACTTCAGCTACGTTATTCACGTAGCTGAAGTTGCGTACCTTAGATCGAATTGGGGTGTTATTGTAGACCAGGCCTTAGTGTGGCCGCGCACAATCGAATTTATACAACCTGTTTCCCAAATTCGAATTATCTAAATTCGGATTAATCCTGTAGTGTAGACATACCCTTACACGGCAGTTGCCTGATTCTCTCCTCACACTGGTGTAAATCAGGAGCAGCATCCCTGAAGTCAGGGGTTCTTGAGCTGAGTCCCGTAGCCTGGCGAGGTCCCTTGTGGTCGCTCCGTGGAATGGAGTCACTCACAGCGGCCCCGGAGCCGGTGAGGCGGCTCCATAGAATCATCGACCTGTCGGCTGGAAGGGACCTCGAGAGATCGTCAAGTGCAGCCCCCTGCGCTGAGGCAGGGCCAAGTAAACCTAGAGCAGCCCTGACAAGGGTTTGTCTTACAAACCTCCAGTGACGGGATTCCACAACCTCCCTTGGAAGCCTGTTCCAGAGCTTAACTCCCCGGAGAGTTAGAAAGTTTTTCCTAACATGTATCCTAAACCTCTCATGCTGCAGATTAAGCCCATTGCTTCTTCTCCTACCTTCGGTGGACATGGAGAACAATGGATCACTGTCCTTTAGAACAGCCCTTAATGTATCTGAAGACTGTTCTCAGGTCCCCCCTCAGTCTTCTTTTCTCAAGACTAAACATGCCCAGATTTTTTCAACGTTTCCTCACAGGCCAGGTTTTCTACCTTTGATCATTTCTGTTGCTCTCCTCTGAACTCTTTCCGGTTTGTCCCCATCCTTCCTAAAGCCGGGCACCCAGAACTGGACACAGTTCTCCAGCTGGTAGAGAGGGACACTTACCTCCTATGTCTTGTACACACTTCTGTTGATGCACCCCTGGCCCAGAATCACATTAGCTGTGGTTTGGATATTTCTATACCAGCCTCCTTCTGTACCTTCCCAGCAGCTGCCTGGGACAATCAGAGCTGCTTTTGCAGTGAAGCCCTTGTTGTGAGGAAGGAAACTGGATCTGGGCCCCCTTCAGGGGACTAGTGCGGGCTAGTTTGGAGTAAAGGTGGAGATGGGACCAGAAAGGGCTCGAGGTCAAATGAAATCCTCAGTGTACGTGTCTCCTTCCCTCCTTTCTTCTCGCTCTCTCCCTCGCGCAGGTTTGAGAGCACATTTGAGGTCTACATCGAATCGGAGAGACTGTACCTCTTTGGGCTGGAGAACCCGGAGGCCATTCGGAAGTGGGTCAAGTCCATCGCCAAGGTAAGGGGCACCCCGGCGCTGAGAAGTGGTGGAGGGAATTTGCTAGGGGTTGAATCCCGGTCTGGATTTGAATGGAGCATGGTCTCCAGGCAGGGGTGAAAGTAACTTAAGGGACTTACCGGTACGCAGGGCCGGGGTCCTGAGCAGGTGGGGGGGTGTCCCTCGGGCAGAAGGGGCGTGGCCTCAGGGGGGTGGCGTCAGGCGGAAGGGACAGGCCTTTAAATCCCCAGGCTCTTTAAATCGCTGCCGCTACCCCGGGGCTCTGGCAGCGATTTAAAGGGCCCAGGGCTCCAGCTGCTGCCGGGAGCCCAGGGCCCTTTTAAATTGCCCACCTGGGGAAGCTGCCCCCTGCTGGTACAGTCGGCTGTGTACCAGCTCTTGCCGGTACGCCGGACCGGACCGGACGGGCTTACTTTCACCTCTGTCTCCAGGACAGTTCCCAAGTGAAGGTCCTGCACTGGGCGCTCCGGCAGCTAACTGGGCCTGAGGAGCGAGTCTCGGGACTGGGACGTTGTCCTCGCTGCATGGTCCTGTCCTTTCAAATCACTCGAGGGCCCAGTGTGGGGCTTGTTGACTAGGGCCAAATTTGGAAGCACATCTCGAGCTTAGTCCCCTGGAGGCCTGGGGAACCAGATTCAGGGGCTGTGAGCAAGGACGGCGAGTAACGCCTCCACTACAGGAGAGATTCGCTCCCTCTCACTGGGACACGGGGAGCTGAGGGGCCCAGCGAGGAGAATTCCCCAGCACGTAGGGCTGCAGTTTAGGGGTGTGCCGGGGAAGCCTCTCCACAGCACACGCTGCTCCGGAGATTCTGGGGCCACAGCCCCCAGGCCGCCCTGGGGAAGTTGCTCTCAGTTAGAGCAGCCCCTGAGGCGGCTCTAATTTATGCCGGGTGCTGCTCCAGCTCTCGGCCGGCCCAGAATCCAGGTGGCACAAAGGCGGCTAACGCCAGCTTTCCCCTCCCACTGTCGTGCACCCCCCCAGGAGGTGCAGCTCCCCGGTGGGCTCTGCGTCCGGCTCCTCGTGCCGTTCATGGCTGGGTAGCTGTAATGACGATGGCTTCTCTCCTCTCTTCTTCCTGCCTTGCTGCTGCTCACGCCTCAGTCCTTCATCCACCCCCGAGCGGACGAGCTGCTGAGTCACGACTTCGAGCGGATCGGACGGCTGCAGTACAAGGGCGGCCTGAACTTGCAGCGGGCCAAGGAGGGCTGGTTCGCCCTCACCCAGTCCGTCCTCTACGCCTTCCTCGAGGACAGTGACAAGGAGGAGGCTGTGCACCTGAAGAAGCTGCAGGAGCTCTGTATGCACCACACCCCTTCCTGCTTCCATGCTGTCCCTCCTCCTGGGCCCCTTGCCTTGCTTCTGGTCGGTGTCATCCCCTCCCACCCCACGGCTTGCCCCGTCCTTTCCCCTCGCCACGTTAAAACCCAGTACCGTGAGTCCGACAGGCCACTGGCGTTTGTACAGAACAGTCCATTTACACAGCACCTGTGATCCTGGAGGATCTCGGAGCACGTTATGGGCCGGGATCGCTCCCCCAGTGCTGAAATGCAGCCTGCTCTGGGGAGGAACCTGCCCATTGTTCTCCGCTAGTAACGCTCCACAATTACACTCCTAAGCAGAGCAGTGAGGGAGAGCACTCCTCTGATAGACTCTAAAGGCAGCAAGGTGGTTGCCCAGGACGGAGGGGTTAATACCCCTTCTGCAAAAGGTGCCCCAAAATCTTTCAGGTGCATATCTCCCATGGCACAATGTCCCCCAACCCAAACTTGAGGCTTGGTTCAGTGCCAACTCCAGGAGGCTAGTGCCACCTGCCGCACCGCTGTCCAATGTACCACCCGGAGAGAAGTCTGTTAGTGCCACCTCTCTCAGCTCCCTGCAGCACCGCTGCTGGGCCTCCTGATGTCAGCTCCTCTGTTGGCAGCTGGCGCTTTCCCCAGCAGAACCGAGCCCCTACCTCCGTCTAGCCGCAGGATGGGGAAGGCGAGCTTCCCGCGCTGGTGCAATCTCACGGCATCTCTGCTTTTCATTTCACAGCCGTCCAAGGGGACAGTCTGGTTCTGGTGGAGAGAAGAAGGTAAAAAGCCTGTTTGCGCTTCGTGTAGTGCAGGGCAGAGCCGAGGGAGAGATCCTTCGGGTTCGTTAGATCCTGCAGGTTCTTAAAAGTGGCGGGGTTCTCAGAGAAAGCCGAAAGGGTCTAAAAATAACCAGCGGCACCGGAGGTGGGTGGGTGATGAGATGGGGACTTCCCTAGGTCCCTTGGGCAAATCTTAGCAGAGGCAGGAAGCAGCTGCCCCCCGCTATATGCTCAGTGGCTCGTGTGAAACAATCTGGTTGGCCTCAGTCCGTTTCGGGGGGGGGGCAGGCGTTCACCACGTCTGACATTGAAGACCTGCCCCTGCTTCACGCTGCCAGCAGAGGGCGCAGAGGTTGCTGTCTCTCCAGGGAGATGGGCAGGGCCAGGCTGAGACACGTCGCGGTGGGCAGGGCTGTGGGGGGTTGCGTGAAGACGTGGCTGCCCAGGGCTGTTCACCCAGTACCTTCCACCCACGTGGAATTCACGTTAGAGGGCAGGAACCTCTGAGGCGAGGGGTGCTGCAGCCTGACGGACTCTCCAGCAAAGCTTACTCTCGGCATGCATAGCAGTCCCGGTTGTTGTTTCCCAGCTAAGGGGCTGTGGGGCCTTGCTTGTCTCCCCAGAACGCTGTACATCCAAGGGGAGAGGAAGCTGGATTTCTTGGGCTGGGTGGCTGCCATCCAGAAGGCTGCGGGGAGCTCCGGCGACACGTTGTCCGAGCAGCAGCTCACGGAGTCGGACATTCCCGTCATTGTAGACAGATGCATCGATTACATCACGCAGTGCGGTACGTCCCTGTCTGTGGGCATGCAGCAGGCCCTCTCGCCCTCGCCTGCGTGCTGGGGGCACCTCTGCTTCCAGAGGCAAGCCCCTGGCCCGAGAGATGGTTTGGTGCTGGATGGGCCATTGGCCAGCACCGTTACCCATCCCCTCCCTAACCCATGCTGGCGAAGGCTGAGGTTTTCGCCTTCCTCTGCAGCATGGGGCAGGGGTCACTTGCAGGTTTAAACTAGTATAAATGGTGGATTCTCTGTAACTCAAAGTTTTTAAACCATGATTTGAGGATGTCAGTGACTCAGCCAGAGGTTATGGGGTCTATTACAGGAGTGGGTGAGCGAGGTTCTGTGGCCTGCGATGTGCAGGAGGTCAGACTAGATGATCATGATGGTCCCTTCTGGCCTTAATGTCTATGAGTCTGAGTCTATAATGGCACCGTAGTGACAATTCAGAGGTGCAGACTATGGCACACCCAGCTCCAGGAGGACAAGGGAAGTGCAGGCAGGTATATTACCACCTGTCTTCTCTCCTTGACCTACTGCAGGATGCATCCTTTGCATTAGCACGTTACCTCCACCCGGCCTGGTAGGAAGTTTACTTCTGTGGCTGGTTGCAGTGGTGGCTTCAGGGCATTCAGTGTTGTGTTTATGAATATATGGCTCAGCAGCTGGTCTTGGCCATGTGCAGAGTCTGTTCCTTTGACCACCAGCTCTTGCAGTCAGAGAGCTCCTCCGTAGTGGCTAGGTCTGAACACTCCTTCCTTAGCTGGCTGCCCCATCTCCCACCGCGTGCCTTCCTCTGCGACAAATTCCCTTCCTCCAGATGGACCGACGCCTTTAACTCCCTTCTAGCCCATGCGCGGGCCCCTACCTGGGCTCTTTCTAGACCTGTCGAGATCAGCAGCGCCGCGTCTCAGTGTTTTGATGCAGGATTGATGTGGGCCCAGCCCAAGGGTGGGTCTGAGGCTTAAAGGACTGATGATTACACGGGTTTGTTTCCTTCGCTAAGGGCCGGATCCAGACACCCTAGCGTCCAGGGGAAAGTCTCCCAGGGACTAGACTGGATCCAGCCCTACGACTCCTACAGAAATTGGCGGTGGTCACCGGGCACATGCTGAGAGAGAGGCATTGGTCTTCTATTCCTTGCAGAGCTCCGCTTGGCTTCTTGTGTCAGGGCAGTGGGAGGGTGGGGGGCCTGTGACTCCCTGTGGGAGAGCTCTTTGTTCTTCACATGAGGCTGTTTGCATCGCTGACCTCGAGTGACCTCTCCCGCTCCAGGGCTGACCTCGGAGGGGATCTACAGGAAGAGCGGGCAGAACTCCAAGACCACCAGCCTGCTGGAGATGCTCCGGAAGGACGCCCGCAGGGTCCGGCTCAAGGAAGGGGAGCACCAGGTGGACGACGTCTCCAACACGCTGAAGAGGTTCTTCCGAGACCTCGGGGATGGGCTCTTCACCAAAGAGTTCTGCCAGGACTGGCTGAAGGCAGCAGGTAGGGGGCGCTGCTGTCCTCTCCTGGCAGAGCCTTGAATGCAGGTGTAACGACAGGAGCTGAGGCTAGGTGATCCAGGGGTCCCTTCTGGCCTTACACTCCATAAATCTATGAGTCTGACACAAGGGGGCGGCATTGCAGGGAGAGCAGTGGCAGCTGGGTGCCCTGGAGTGAGAGGATAATGGGGAGTCCAGGTTGTTAACAGGCCCTGCTTTAGAGAGGAACATGTATCCCAAGAGGGGAGACTAATCCGGGATGGGGTTAGATCAAGGGATTGGAAGTCAGGGTTGCTGGTTCCAATCCCAGCTCTGCCACGTGCCTGCTGGGTGACCTTGGGCAAGTGACTGCCCCTCCCCGTGCCTCAGTTTCCCCATCTGTGAAATGGGAGTTATACTATTTACTTCTCCCACGCTGGAGTGTATGAAACTTAACTGCTGTTTGTAAAACACTTTGAGAGGTAGGCGCCAGAGAAGGACAAATCACTGTCACAAACTCTCACTCCTCTGGCTGCACAGCCCGTCCTCTTAGAGCGTCACGGGGACAGAACTCCCCGCCTCTTGCTCCTAGAGCTCCACTACTCTCCGTGAGCTGTAAGCCCTACGGGCCTGCGACACACAGTTCAGCAGTTCTGATGCCAGCCAGTAGGGGGCAGCGTGACACGTCCACACCAGCCAGCTCCCTACGGGGTTCATATTATGATTGATTATTGCAGGATTAGGCATTTCGGCTACGGGTGGAGCTTAGTTATCTCAGGTCAGTAGCAGACTTCTCAGCCAGCCCCTCTGCCTGTGTCGCTCCAGCACTGCACAGCAGGATGCTACAGCCTGCTCAGTGGGCTCTAGTCTGAGAGGGCCTGAGAACAACTCCTTTCCTGGTTTATTTAGCCCAGAGAGCTCGCGCTGAGCAGGTGGGGTAGACACACAGCTGAGCTGCAGCAGGCTAGTGCCACCTGCTGGCTCCTCCGTGGCACCATCAGGCTGGGAAACAGCATCTGGGCTGCAGATGTTTTGTCGGGAGAACTATGGGTGGGTTGAGGCCTCTGGTTCCGGGGGTTAGAAGTGGCCAGGCGCAGATGGGGCCATGAATCACAGGAAGAGAGATCTGGAGCCTGCCCTGACTGAGTGGGGAACACGGCACAGGAACCAGGTCCCTCTGCGGTGGGAAGATCCGAGTCTTCCTGTGGGGCAGGGCTGAGGGGAAATGAGGGGAGCAGGGCTGGACTGAGACGCAGGTGTGTCCTGGATCTCCAGCCTCGCTGGGGTGGGGGGTGTTTCTCCTCTTGATGGGTTCGCGGCAGGTCAGAGGGATGAGGCAACGCTTCGGCTCGTCCAGCACAGCAGAAAGGACGCCGGACCGTTCACCCTTTACAGCTGGAGCTGCCCACCAGCACCAGCACCTGGGATGGGTGAATCTGGCTGACAACCAGCTGAGATCTGAGCGGGGAGCTCAGCCGTGTCCCTCCCCTCCCACACCCCTGCCTGTCCGGGCTGTCCTCCACCCACGCCCCTGCCTGTCCGGGCTGTCCTCCACCC